TCAAGAACCATGTTCAGATGTCAAGAAACAACACCATTGCCTGCCAGACTGAAAAACAGTAGATTTGACATTTGTGAGGTAACACTTGCGTTTCCTCATAACTGAACACGAAGAAGGTGCGCCTGGCAAGATATTTCAGGTTTGCTTTGTTGGACATGTCAGAAGACCCTTGCTGAAGAACATACTTTGTTCTGAATAATCTGTACCATATACAATTGTGCTATGAAATATTAGATGTGTTGGAACCTACATCTATTCAGATGTGAAATGGACAGCAATCAAATTTTTTCGGAGGATGAGTCGGCAGGACATGTCTCCTTATGAGTTTCATTCGGGAAAGAAGAGGTGTTTCCATGTAAAACACAGGTTTGCAAATCAAACATATGTATATGTTAAAATTATGTCGGTATGTAAATTTTAAACCAATAAAGTTCTCTACCTATTTTTGGCTTGTATCTTGTCATGTGTGATGGAGTGAATAGCGTTACCCACTACCTGTATGTAGGGTGGGCCAGATACACCGTGGGTTGATAGCATGAACAATGACCGCTGTCATAGGGAACAATAACAAACATTCTGACAGCATATCTTATACCAGTCAAGCATATGGTGTCTGGTCACAAATCTGACCTGGAATCCTCATACGGATTACTGGAAGATGTGTCTTGTGATATGGTTGCCATAGTGAATGAGTGCATTGGGTTTAATGCCAATTTGAACAGTATTTCAGTTATATCAAGTGGTTTCGGCTTAATGCTAGAAGAAAGCCCAAAGTTATGTAGGCCTTTGATGTATGTTGCTGACAATCCAAAGATCCTATCCAGGGGTATCTGGGATTCCGTTCTACCTCTGGCATGTTCAGGGAGCACCCAAACAGCCAGGAAGCACATTGTAACCACTCAGTCCTCATTTGTCAACTGTTATGTTTGTTTGTTGTTTTAATGCCACACTCAACAATATTCCAGCTATATGACGGCGGTCTGTAAATAATCGAGTCTGGACCAGACAATCCAGTGATTGACATCATGAACATCATTCTTCACAATTGGGATACAATGACATTCATCAACCTAGTCAGCGAGCCTGACCAACCAATCCTGCCTCTTACAAAAGTATAGTCGCCTTTTACGGCAAGCATGGGTTGCTGAAGACATATACTGACTTGGATCTTCAGGGATTGCCAATTTTTATGACAAACATGAGGAGTTTACATTATTCATGATTTGGATTAAAAGGATGGGACAAATGACCACCACATGGAGGAAACAGCTGTAATATTTATTTCAGTCACACTTCATACATCAAATAAATGGACACACTGACAAAATAGCACAACACCTTCCATTTCATGAATAAACTTGACCTGTACCGTAACGCAGATCTCATAACCTAAACACTTAACTTACATATATACATATAACTTACACATCAATTATTTTTATTTCCTTTACTGAAGTTGATGTTTCAATCACTCTGCATTTTTAATCTGTACCACTTACTTTCTGAGAATTCAAACAGCCAAACCAAACTATCTGCAAAGGCTACATCAGACACTTGCTGTCAACAGAAATGGGAATTTGGGGCAAAGTTAGGGCATGATATTTGTTACTTGAATTGATTTCCCTTGTCATGACCTCTTGTAAGTTCCAAATGCAGGGTATGTCAGTGATTTCCTGTGTAGTATTCAAGAGGATCTATCAAACTGTTCCAAATTTCCAAATATTGCGTATTTAAGAAGAAAATGGTGGTCCCGTATATTTCTATAAAAAAAGGCATTTGAGAATGAATGTGTGTGTGTGGGGGGGGGGGGGGGGGGTTGAATACAACTGAATAAAATAGCAGTCGTAAAATTATCTGCCAGACCTGCAGACAAATCTTGAGGAAAATTTCATGCAGCCAGACAGAAAAGTTCAGTTATTTCGGACACTGAATTGCTTTAGGAAACAGCTAATGATTGAAACAAGGGACACATAACATGTAGTTTGTAGAAAAACAATAGCATGTAACCATGATAACCTGAAAAAAAAGTGGGGAAAATATTTTCTCCTCTCAAAAAGAAGTAGGAACATACAGTATTTGTGTGAGTGGGCACAAGATCCATTTAAGATAGTAATCCCCACACAGAGCAAGCATAACAATAAGCAACAACACTGAGACTTCCCCTTATCTGGTGCTTAACCTCTTCCCACAAGGCAGAATAGTAGATGCAATATTAGGAAATGTGTTTCCGCATAAAATAGGATTAAAATATACATACGATTTTGAAGATCAGTTTTATGAATAAGGACTAGAAACAATAATGCCATAAGAAGAATTTCAAATAAATTCAAATCTAATTATTGGTTATCTTGTAACATTATGCTAAATAGGATCATGATTTTTCTACAAAATCAAACATTACCAGTACATCTGAATCATTGGGGCGGTCGGGTAGCCTAGTGGTTAATGCGTTCGCTCGTCACGCCGAAGACCTGGGCTCGATTCCCGACATGGGTACAATGTGTGAAGCCCATTTCTGGTGTCCCCCGCCGTGATATTGCTGGAATATTGCTAAAAGCGGCGTAAAACCATACTCACTCACTCACTCACTCACTCACTCACTCTGAATCATCACTGGTGACAGTATGTACCTCCAACATCCATACACAAGATACTCATCACTGATACATAGTCTCTCACTGTATACATGCTTCTGGCATTCTACACATAGTCAACACCTTATGGTAAAAAAGAATTCATAGCAAAATTTTCTAAATACCACCGGATTAATTATATCAGAATATCATAAGTGAAAAAGAAGATTAATTGGAAATGTTCCTTCTCCTGATATTGTACAGAATATTGGAAGTGTATGTCAGCATACAGCATCACTTAACTCCATTGGTGTCCCCTGTGTCTCCCTCTTGTTCACTCATCTCACACAACTCAACACACTCTATCCTGGGGTACACACCTTAAACTAAACACATCTCAGGCCAGCTAAATTATTTACTAGTCTCTCCATTGAGGCACCTCTGGGAATGTTGCCCTTTTTTTAAATAGATTAACTAAAACTAAATTAACAAATTAGATTTCAACAAAAAACATTATTGTGTTTTTCAAGAACTGAATGCACCATTAATTATTGAAATGGTGACTGTATCATTTCTGGAAAATTGACATGTAACAAGTAAGAATGACACTGCTTTAATATCAGGTTGATATCTTTAAACTAAAAAATAAAGCCACAAGGCAGACCTGACCTATGAAGTTCAAATTATATGACACTTCAACCTTACTTCAGTTCAAATATATGTTGTGAGCTTAACATAAATTGGTGCAAAAGATTCAGGGAAAAAGAAAAAGAAAAAGAAAGTATTTCTGCAACAGTGATTAGTCCATATGGTAATGCCCTTGAACAAACTTGGATCTTATGGTCATTACTTGTACACGGAGTTTAAGCCCTGTGCCCAGTGGTTCTAAGAAAAAGATTATAAAACTATTTATATAATCAAGATATGAAAAACGATGGCCTATTGATGGCCAGTAATGGATTATTAATGTTTAAAATCGGATCAGAATTCTGTGATCACTTTTTAGCAAAACCATAGCTGGGATCATTCACAGAGTTTCATCTGCACAGACCTTGAAGCTTCACAAGAGATGTCGAAAATGAAAAAGTTAACGACAGATGGACAACATGCCACTGCATAATCTCACTTGACTTTCAATCAGGTGAGCTGAAAATTGATTTAGGCCTCTTTTTACATAGTGCCTGGATGTTCTTCACGGAGGGTCAAATTGAAAATGTAATTAGACATTTAGTGACAATGTTTTTCGTTAATTGATCTCTTAAAAGTTTTGTCTGTTGGGTGAAATGAAAATAAAAACGTGCTAAGATACAATTAATTAACAGGCTCAACTGGAAGACAACATGAGAGTTCCCAGAAATTGTAAACTTATTCCACATTTCTGTGCAACATGTTCTACAGCCTTGCAGTCAACAAATCTTCACATTTAGTATCATCCAAAGGCAGGGTTTGCAGAGTTGGACTCGTGTCATGAGTTTTATGTGGCCTCATTTTATTACTTGACTAGAAATATACACCAGTGATAACTACACCACTTTGGGCCTATGTATTCATGGGTTATAGAGTAACATAGTGTTTACAAACCTGTGCAGTGCTGATGATGATGAACTACTTAAGAATTAACCTTCACTTTGTGTGAGTTCATTGGAGTATGAACCTTCATAGAGTGAGGGCCAAACTGTATGAACGTCGGAGCAATTTCTTACCTCAAAGGATGTAGGTCAAGATCTAAACACAATTTTATTTAGTACATGTGACTTCATGTTTACACTATCAGCCATACAACAACCAGCTATATCGCGGAGTAAAATAGTTCCTCAAAAAGAGTGGTGACATGGACGTATGGATGCACAACTTGCTCTTCAGAAACATCTTATGCAGCACATGTGTTCAAATCATATCCTCACTAGCTGAAAAAGGTCTGTAAACAACTATCTCATTTAAGTCAGTCACATCAAGTACAAGAAGTCAAAATGGACGAAACGATAAACGTTACAGGAGAGATTTCCGAAAGTTCTTAATGAATATGTGGCGGTTACATGTGTTAGTCATCATTGATCAACTGGCCAATCATTGAAAGATGAATAAAGATGCGTCAAACAGACACTAAGGTAAATTCAAAGATTGCTGGGGACGGTCAATGTCAGCCTAGGCACGGATTGAGTCGATACTACGATAGTTTAGATGTGCATTTCTTCATCTGTTCATTAGGATAGGCCGCAGCGAGGATATTCGTGAACAATCATGCAGTCAGGCTCTCTGACATTTCTCAATGTATACTGAAACGCTGAGACCAAGAATAAAGGTTCTAAATGATCAGAAAGAACGCTTATGTATGTTTTCGTGCTAGGGAATTCCCAGGGGTTTCCCCAGGAATGTGGAAGTAGTCCGTCAGTGTTTACGTCATTTCAAGAACAAGATCTCGTGAAAAACGTATGAACGTCAAATTGTGTCGTTCATACACTTATGAACGTCAATTTCGCGTTCATATGACCGGCCTCTCGTCCAATGGAAAAGCCGTATATCGTGTAAACTTCAAATTAAAAAATTATATGTCATTGAACACAATTGAGGATAGCAATTAAAACTGACTTTGTTTGTAAGGATAGATGTTTGTCCAGGCTTACAAAGGCAAAAAGCTGCTCACCAAAAAAGCCATAAAATTGACTTGACAAATTATGTGTCAATTGCTGTACACTGTATTAAACTAGATATATAATGTAGATGTAATTTGTGAATAAACATCATAAAATGATTTGTAAAGTAAAGTAATTCCCATTATTCCTGTCATTCATAAGGTCACATTCATAAAGTGGAGACAGTGTGTGATAAACAACATGATTGGTCAAACAATGAACTCTTGACATCTAGCATACAGATTATTGAACACTGTTGGATTTGGCGTTCTGTTCACTCTTGACATCTGACAGATGATTGACAGCTGTCATTCAAGTTGTTTTCAGTTTCTGATCTCCCAGCTTCTTCTTCCTCTGGTAATACATGTAGTTCATCATCTTGTACCCAGCTGAAACAAAGACAACCAGGATGAGAGAGCAGTGACATAAAATTCATGAGTTTATGATCTAAGTAAAGTTACTGACGAAGATATAGAGCGATGTTGTGGATATCAGTGGAAGGGAGATAACCCTTTAGTCAAGATGAGCTAAACATTGTTTTTATTGAGCAAAATCAACAGAATCTTTTTTGGGTTTCTAATCTGTAACAAATATGTCCAGTGATAAGCATGTATTATGTAAGACCTAATGGTCAGACTGTATTAAACTCATCTTATAACATATACGACAACAACACATTGAGATTTTCTACGGCTTTTCAGATTATAAAACATGTGATGTCTCCCATGGTAAGAGACTTTGGTACATGGCAGGATGAGGACACAGCCAACATCTAGCAGGCAGCATGGGTTGAATGAACGAGTTGAGACAGGGCACACATACTACTCACCTAGTGCCAGGAGAAACAGATATGTATGTAGGAACCAGGGGAAAAAGAAGGCGAAGTTGGCCGAGTTGGGTAATGTTACACTGAACCTTCCTGTCTGCTCAAACAGGGGGATGGACATTATCACTATTGTCCCTGAAAAAAGATTAATCACATTATTATTAATTCTCAACAGATCATTGATAATCAGAATAGCCTCAATAAAGCACACACACACACACTGTATAAGTCTACATTTTCAAAAGATATGCATGTCTGTTGAGAAGAAACTGTGTGAAAGGAGTAGATGAGAGCAAAGCCCAAGATTTGTAGAGGCACAGATATGAGAAAGTGAACAGACATGCTATTTATTCAGTGCTGTAGATATATCATGGCAGCATGTAGTGCAATATTGCCTGGATAAGCCAAACTAGTGATGAATAGTGTGAACATTGATCTATACCATCAAAGTCTGGTCACTGACACCCAAGCTGCAAGGACCGTGTGGAGCTTTTCTTGTCTGTAGTCTTCCAAGATGGCATGTTGGTGTGAACATTGATCTATGCCATCAGGTTACAGTCAGTTTGTACAGTCACTGACATCCAACTGATGGCATAGATCAATGTTCACACCAACATGCCATCATGGGAGACTACAGGAAAGACAAGCTCCCTGCTGTCCAGGCTACTTGGCTGTTAGTGACTGTACATCTGATGGCATAGATCAATATCACACCAACATGCCATCTTGTAAGACTACAGGAAAGACAAGCTCCCTGCTGTCCAGGCTACTTGGCTGTCACTGACATCCAACTGATGGCATAGTTCAATGTTCACACCAACATGCCATCATGGGAGACTACAGGAAAGACAAGCTCCCTGCTGTCCAGGCTACTTGGCTGTCAGTGACTGTACATCTGATGGCATAGATCAATATCACACCAACATGTCATCATGGGAGACTACAGGAAAGACAAGCTCCCTGCTGTCCAGGCTACTTGGCTGTCATTGACTGTACATCTGATGGCATAGTTCAATGTTCACACCAACATGCTATCATGGGAGACTACAGGAAAGACAAGCTCCCTGCTGTCCAGGCTACGTGGCTGTCAGTGACATCCAACTGATGGCATAGATCAATGTTCACATACAATTATAACAAAAACATAATAATAAACAAAGCTGGCCCAGCTTTTTAAAGAGAAATGGCCTCTTTATCATATTCATACCTTCAAAGAGAATTCCAAGAGGATAGAGAGGGATCCACACAGTGTAGCGCATCCAATTGATGAATTTCACTTCCATATTTATACTGCTCAGCATGTAGAAGGGGTACCTAAAACACAGCATTGTGATGTGAAACAATGTAAATCACATCATTATACATGTCTAATAACTTCCACATATCAAATGTTCCATCATTCAGAAGATGGAGATCTAAAGTGACGATTAAACCAAATCATAAAATTCAAAATGGATAAACACATTTTGGTGAGGTATAAGAACTGTCCTCACCAGATATCAATGGACAATGCCTCAGATATACCGGTAGTATATGAAATGGGCATTCATGACAGAATCACCACAATGTAACATATTAAAAATTGGTACTAGATACGATTGAATACACACCACATAATGCTGAAGACGTCATACACAGTATTGTGCCTACCATACCACATACCATAATCCCGAGTACACTAGTCAGAAACCTTACATACTACAGTATCATACATACCATAATCCCTAGCACACTAGTCAGAAACCTTACATACTACAGTATCATACATATCATAATCTCTAGTACACTAGTCAGAAACCTTACATACTACAGTATCATACATACCATAATCCCAAGTACACTAGTCAGAAACCTTACATACCACAGTATCATACATACCATAATCTCTAGTACACTAGTCAGAAACCTTACATACTACAGTATCATACATACCATAATCTCTAGTACACTAGTCAGAAACCTTACTTACTACAGTATCATACATACCATAATCCCTAGCACACTAGTCAGAAACCTTACATACTACAGTATCATACATACCATAATCTCTAGTACACTAGTCAGAAACCTTACATACTACAGTATCATACATACCATAATCTCTAGCACACTAGTCAGAAACCTTACATACTACAGTATCATACATACCATAATCTCTAGTACACTAGTCAGAAACCTTACATACTACAGTATCATACATACCATAATCCCTAGCACACTAGTCAGAAACCTTACATACTACAGTATCATACATACCATAATCTCTAGTACACTAGTCAGAAACCTTACATACTACAGTATCATACATACCATAATCTCTAGCACACTAGTCAGAAACCTTACTTACTACAGTATCATACATACCATAATCCCTAGCACACTAGTCAGAAACCTTACATACTACAGTATCATACATACCATAATCTCTAGTACACTAGTCAGAAACCTTACATACTACAGTATCATACATACCATAATCTCTAGCACACTAGTCAGAAACCTTACATACTACAGTATCATACATACCATAATCTCTAGTACACTAGTCAGAAACCTTACATACTACAGTATCATACACACCATAATCTCTAGCACACTAGTCAGAAACCTTACATACTACAGTATCATACATACCATAATCTCTAGTACACTAGTCAGAAACCTTACATACTACAGTATCATACATACCATAATCTCTAGCACACTAGTCAGAAACCTTACTTACTACAGTATCATACATACCATAATCCCTAGCACACTAGTCAGAAACCTTACATACTACAGTATCATACATACCATAATCTCTAGTACACTAGTCAGAAACCTTACATACTACAGTATCATACATACCATAATCTCTAGCACACTAGTCAGAAACCTTACATACTACAGTATCATACATACCATAATCTCTAGTACACTAGTCAGAAACCTTACATACTACAGTATCATACATACCATAATCCCTAGCACACTAGTCAGAAACCTTACATACTACAGTATCATACATACCATAATCTCTAGTACACTAGTCAGAAACCTTACATACTACAGTATCATACACACCATAATCTCTAGCACACTAGTCAGAAACCTTACATACTACAGTATCATACATACCATAATCCCAAGTACACTAGTCAGAAACCTTACATACCACAGTATCATACATACCATAATCTCTAGCACACTAGTCAGAAACCTTACATACCACAGTATCATACATACCATAATCCCTAGTACAGTAGTCAGAAACCTTACATACTACAGTATCATACATACCATAATCCCTAGCACACTAGTCAGAAACCTTACATACTACAGTATCATACATACCATAATCCCTAGCACACTAGTCAGAAACCTTACTTACTACAGTATCATACATACCATAATCCCTAGCACACTAGTCAGAAACCTTACATACTAGTTTCATACATATCATAATCCCTAGCACACTAGTCAGAAACCTTACATACTACAGTATCATACATACCATAATCCCTAGCACACTAGTCAGAAACCTTACATACTACAGTATCATACATACCATAATCCCTAGCACACTAGTCAGAAACCTTACTTACTACAGTATCATACATACCATAATCCCTAGCACACTAGTCAGAAACCTTACATACTAGTTTCATACATACCATAATCCCTAGCACACTAGTCAGAAACCTTACATACTACAGTATCATACATACCATAATCCCTAGCACACTAGTCAGAAACCTTACATACTACAGTATCATACATACCATAATCCCTAGCACACTAGTCAGAAACCTTACATACTAGTTTCATACATACCATAATCCCTAGCACACTAGTCAGAAACCTTACATACTAGTTTCATACATACCATAATCCCTAGCACACTAGTCAGAAACCTTACAAACTACAGTATCATACATACCATAATCCCTAGCACACTAGTCAGAAACCTTACATACTAGTTTCATACATACCATAATCCCTAGCACACTAGTCAGAAACCTTACATACCACAGTATCATACATACCATAATCCCTAGCACACTAGTCAGAAACCTTACATACTACAGTTTCATACATACCATAATCCCTAGCACACTAGTCAGAAACCTTACATGCTACAGTATCATACATGATAATACATAACTTATAGTCATAAGTACATCTATCCCTGACACACTACTACCGGGGGCTGACGGGTGTACACGAACATTTAGCATATAATCGATAGTCATACATGTTACAAATATATCATTACAAGTTCACTAGTTGCAAGATTTATTTCTGGTTAATTTTGTGTGTGTGTGACAGTAAAGATCTGTTCTCACACCACCATTAGTATGGGAACTCAAAGTGCAATCAGGGTCACATAACAAGCAAGAGATGTCATATCAAACAGTATCAAGCCAAGATATCTGCACAGCTGACTTGTACAAAAAGGCAGCCAGCCATTCAGATACCTGGATTCTTTACTGAGGTACTGCTAATCTCCGTACCTAATGAGCTCTACTGCGCTCCACACCACAAACAGGTACCACACCGCTGGGGCACTGTGTAGCCGTGGCTCTTGGAGAAGTAGTCCAAATAAGATGAAGTTTCTGCCAAAGACCTGCAAGTAAAATTACAAAAGTGAAATCAATTACTTGCCATGGGGATATTTGTTTTGGTGTACATGCCAGCTACACCACACCAACCTGTCATTTACAGAGTCTGGACAAACCAGTGATTGATATTATGAGCAACTTCCTAGGCTTTCAGAGTATGATGACACGCAATCAACCAAGTAACCGAGTCCGACCACTCAATCCATTAAGTTGCCTTAACTCGACAAGCATAGGTTGCTGAGGGGGTGAGGGGTATCCTTATTCAGCATCTACATTGTTAAGGAAACACTTCCCATTTGTAAGTCAGTTTTCTCTCCAAAACTAAAACAGCAAAATACTTGTATGTTATAGAACAAATTTATAATTTAATCATGCTGAGCCAACCAACTTTATAATCAGTCATTTTAAGAAGATGTGAGAACATCATGCTGTGGGATGATGATGATGATGATGATGATGATGATGATGATGATATTTAATCCTGACACATTGCTGCCTACCTGTGCTAGGGGAGCAAAGACGCCCGACTTGACGAGACCAAGCATTGGGTGTATGACCTCCAGACATGCTACTGCTTGACATACCATCAGCTGGACCCCAACAGCCTCAAATGCAGTGTGTTTGATTTCTGAAAAAAGTGTGATATGATTCAAATATACAGGCAGAGGTTTCTGAATAACTTACATCCACTAGTCTGAGATATAGTTAAGTAAAGTCAGCAAAACGACAAATCCCTATGGACTATGGGCTTTCTACCATTAGGCAGATGACAACTCTGAAGCAGATCATTTATACGGACTAGTGAAACTAGAAACTTATTTCTAAACCTAATACTATCATACAGACAGATATGTAAAAGATAACTGAAATTAGCAAGGTTGGCTGTGATGAATGGAGCTATACCATAGCTTATTCTAGGTGTTTCTTCAGTAGCAGGGTGAAAAATAACTTGAATCTTGTCAAACCTCCTGTACATGATTTTACAACTGCTTCAAAAAGGATTGGTTAAGAATTGCCTCCCTTGGTTCATTACAGAAATAAGACAGCATTCATGCTTCATTTCGAAATTATTTATTATAGATCTTAGCATTTTAACTATTTGTGATATTGTCTTATGTTTTCCATAGTTCTTACCGTTCTACAAATAATATCATTATAAACAGTTTCACAATATAGTGGACATGACCCTTTCCTAGCTATTCTCTTAACCATTGCCTCTAACAGTACTCACTAACATACCATGTCCAGTAGAACACGGATATAACAAACTACAAGGGACCAGAGAAATCAGTTCGTTATATCCGTTGTTCGTTATACACATTTTCGTTCGGAAACGTCTGCCATCTTGGATAATACAAAACACAATACACGTATTTACAGTGTTACACGTGAAATCTTCATGGCCTAATTTCACTGCAAGTTCGTCAGCTTTGATCTTTCTTGGTTTTTATGCCAGCATCAACAGCGTTAATAGTTCTCAATTTCGTGTCTAAATTGATAGCTTTCCTCTTATTATTGCCCGCCATGATAGCATATGCAAGTGTACTGACACTTGGACACCAATCTCGTAAAATGTATATGTTTAATGTTTGTTTTACAGACAAGATTACATGTACAGGTAAGATTAACACAATGCAAATTTAACAAGGTTGATCCGTCACCGCTGGTTGTATTGATTCGTCGCCGTCACCACTGATTGCGTACAGCCAATTGTCAGTGACACTTGACACTGAGTGAGATTTCTCAGTTCGCTATACACGTCACTAATTAGTGATAGATGGGCTTGTCGGTGATCAGATATCAGTTCGCTGTATCCGTTAGTTCGCTGTAGAGAGTTTGTTATGTACGTAAATTTTATATGATATTATATAGGAGATAAATCGGGGATTTTTTAACAGTTCGTTGTATCCGTTTGTTCGCTATATCCGGGTTCGTTATATCCGTGTTCTACTGTATGTATCATCTAAATATTACAAAACAATTTGATGTGAAGGCTGTAAATGTAGAATAAACTGGCTGTTGTGGTGCACACATTGGACTTTGTTGTAGCAAGTTAGACTGCTACATATTACGGTAACACTGTTAGTAAATCTTCATTACAAAATAACACATTTTAAAAATTGTCAAAAACTCACTGCTTTTTCACATTCCACTTTTATCAAGTAAACTTTAATTCATTGAAGTTTACTTATCAATATATATACATATATTTTTAACACACTAATCTTTAAATTTTGCATTCAACGGCCCAATTTCGAAACAATCAAATAAGAATAATTCATGTTCTTTTTGTTATCAATTTAGTGTACCTTTACATGTTATATATTATAAAAGTATGATATAATAATGAGAATTGTTTTTCACTCCAGACTTAGATACTTGAGGCCATTCAGACCATAAAACAATTGTATAGTAAGTATAGTGGTCAACAGCTAAAACTATATACTTGGAGCTACTGAAAATTACCCTATGGATTGCTGTCAGACAGCTGAACGTCACTGAACTGCATTCAAGAATAGACATGGCAAATTTAGTTATGACGCTCCTCAACCAGATTTAAAACAAACAGGTTCAAAATCTCAACTTACTTCAAAATGATAGAAAAGGACAAAGTTACCTATATCAGGCTATATGTTCATGTTGGCTGGTGGTGTACTAGATGATGAATAACACAATTTGACGATTCCTAAATTACCTACCTTTGTGAATTGTTACCTCAGCTGATCAGTTGCTACAAACCACAGTCTGAGTGACTGCATAACAATATCCTTCTAGTTAACGATCAGTTTGACTATTTCATGATAAAGTGACTCAGGGGACAAAGGATAGGTTCTACTATCACCTTTTATCTACGATTCTAGTATCGTATATTTTCTCACAGGTTCATAATTCCATAAACCGATTTACAAAATGGCGCTTCGTTGTTGATGGCAACATAACGATCATTATGAGATTAAAACAAGACAACAGAAACCGCTTTCCACATTAGGGGAGTGGATGACTGGTTTGTTAAATCTTTATTAGAAATTATAATGACTTTTTCACAATAATTACAATGGCTATCATCTTATAATATTGAATATCTGCAAGTACCAGCACAGTCTTGCAGTCCGACTTCGCAGTGTGTCGTTGCCTTTCACTTCCTGGTTTTGGCATATCTACGGGTCATATCATGTTCTTTCATATTTCAATGGTCAAGTTAATACCTCGGCTTACCTACGGGGTCGGCGGTCGTATATGGTAATCAAGTCTCAAATGATGAAATCAAGAAAATGGCCTTATCACGGGGCACATGGGGCACATTAGAAATTTGTTTGTTCAAATAGCAGAGAATATACACGGAGATAGGGAGGGTAACTCCAGAACAAAAACATTGGGGCATCAGGCTTGACAAGGTCACTGGAACTTTCTGTGAATGTATGAAACCCAGGCTTGTTCGGGTGCCACTTGTAAATAGTGGTTTGTGGTTTTTTTCACCATTCACCTTATATCTTGTACAAGTTCCTTTGTGAAGTGTTATACATTACAATTAGGTAATTATGGTAACAGTTCTCAGACAACCCTGCATAGGTGTTTCTATTTATTGAACAGTTTCCGAGTTATGCTCCAGAAATGAATGCTATGCATATTTGAGTCTAGGTCCGGATTGTTTCCATAGAAACACAAAACAATATCTGCTTTTAGAAATACAAAAACATCAAAAGACACGAGTTTAGCATGTCTTTGATACATATGCAAAGTTTCATACCAAAATATTAATCGGTTTCTGAGTTATGCTCCGGAAATGTAATATGACAAAGGGACGAACAGACAGACAGACAGACAACACCCATGGCAGGTGATAATAAAGCAGGATGTAGTAAGGACCAAATAAAAGCATCTTATCTGTGTAAAGAAAGCGAAAGGATGCTGGTGTCCGTGACATTTGCTGCCAAGGACCCCACAATCTTTTTAACTTTTAACATTTGGGTTATTACAAAGACTGAATTACTTTCACGTTTATGCCATATATACTTATCTCTTCTTTATAGTTCTCTGGTTTCTACTTAACAAAATTATAGAGGATATATAGTAAGAATATGATGCTGCTTAGCACAAGTTCTGGACAGGAAGTGTTCTTATAAGTGACAGACTGATGGACAAGAAGACCTGTGAAACAATTGATAATCTCACATTGTCAAGGCAGGACCAAGCAATTGTTCCACACATCAAGCAGTAATGGTATCTAACTTCCTGATTATCTGAATATGTTGATCATGTAACAATCTGCAGTATTTGCTAGTATCCCGCCCCACAGACATACAGTGGCTGAACACAGGTGCTTACACTCCAATCAGGACAGATTGGACATGCCTGACCAGCTCTGATATCAACCTCCCTCTGGCAAAGGGACGACAGTTCAAACACCATGACCTTCACCTCCTGTCATTAGAGATTAAGAAACTGGTTTAACATGACCAGTTCCCTAACAGAATGCTCCTTTTTAAACTATGTTATGCCCTCATGAATATCAATCACTGTTAACTTGATATTCACTAACTCACTTTACCATCCAAATGATACATCTTTGTTTCAAATAGATGTAAACCTTACGTGTCAACAACAACAAAACTAAACCACCTGCCCAGGATGCCCAATATAGTTATAAGGCAAATGCTGTCGTAAGTTTAAGAATGGAGAATCAGGGCTTGATTTATCTATATAAAAGATGCACCAGTGTAACCTATTATTGAAAAATGCATCCTAATATTTATGTCCACATGCACTAAGTGCATGTCAATTTTTTTCAAATGTGTGTCTAACCCTCACATGTCCATACAACATTGACCTTTGAGTGAGTGAGTGAGTTTGGTTTTACGCCGCTTTTAGCAATATTCCAGCAATATCACGGCGGAGGACACCAGAAATGGGCTTCACACATTGTACCCATGTCGGGTATCGAACCCAGGTCTTCAGCGTGATGAGCGAACGCTTTAACCACTAGGCTACCTTTGATCACATTTCAATACCTCTAAGCTTATTTTCCATACTAAGTCAATAACCCCTTTAAATGTGTAATTTGTCGAGCTTTTGGGGGCCTGACATAGTCAAAATGTGGGTATTTTAAGATTATATGCACGTTTCAACTCTGATAAATTTATGGGTACAGGGTGCAACCTGGTTTTGTCTGGTGCAAATAGGTTTTCATGTCAACATGCACCTGGTGCAGGTTAAATCAAGCTCCTTAAATCCAGCCCTGAGAGTTTCTTTAAAGTATCAATATTCACAATGTTTTCTTGAACTTCATCTCTCTGCAATTGTACTGAGGTTTACATTATTATTACCATGGTAATGCATGCACATATGATTTGTAGGGATGTCACGATTCACTAGTAGTAATACAATGGTGGATCGATAATATTCTCAGACAATACCATAGTCGATACACACTGACCTCTATTGATATTTTAAACCTGTATCAATTCATATTTTAATCCTGTATCTTTTCACACATGCAACATTTAAAACAGCATGACAATCACTGAAATACAATAACGTGTGTATTGAAGTGCATTTTGATTGGGCAACTTCCCCATGAAATACATAAATTCATGCTAAAATTGCTGCCAATTAAGTATCGTACTGTGACATGCCAAATGATTTCATGAAGATCAGAGGTGAAGCTCAAATGATATGTCAGAACTACAAAGTAGTCCAAAATATGGGCAGTCATAAACAGTGTTTGTGTAGTTCCATGCAGCAGTCAGCAATGTTCCAACTGTGTCAAGGCAGCAGTAGAATAATGGCCTGGCCAGCAGGAGAGTGTGTGATAGCGTCATGACACACCACAGCCAGGCCATACATTTTATCCATGCAATCCTCACTTAATGGTGTGCTACAATAGGCATGGAATGCTCCAATCCCATGGAGGGTATTCATAAAGAGAGGAAAAGTCCAAACCAATGTATGCACTTCTGTTGTGTGACATCAATCTGCACCAAAACATCTCCCAACATCTGGCATATTGGTTTGCATTTTGAAAGCTTCCACTGTATTCATGGTGTTAGTGAGTGAGTTGGTTTTGCGATGTTTTTAGCAATATTCCAGAAATATAAAGGTGCGGGTCACCAGACTTCACACATTGTATCATGTTGGGAATTGATCCAGGCCTTCGACATGGCAGGCGAACACTTTAACCACAAGGCTACCCCTACGCCCCTCATGGTATTAGATATGACAGTCACTAGACAAAGACTTCAGGCAAGTTCTAGAAAGCATAGACTGTAATACTCAGTATCATGTGTTAACAAAGTGCCTAGATATAACATACCCTCTCCATATCTGAAGAACTTGTACAGCAAAATGACTGTCACGTATAAGAATCCTATAAACTGGAACAGGTTGTACATGAAGATGTAAGACAACTTGAAGTTGGGTGTTTTTGCTGCAAGAAGAAAACAGAAGAATCTGATGCACCAATCCCTTCATCCATGTATGACTTAAATATGTTACATATAATCAGCCACCATAATCACATTAACAGCATAACATGACCCATAGTCTTGTTAACGTTATACTATGTAATACTGGTAGTGTTAAAAATTAACTATAAGCATGAGTTATCAAGGTTATAATACTAAAATTAACAGAATCATTCTTTCATGCTGGACTTGGTCATAGACTAAACTGCTTACCTGTTGCATCACCAGTTCCAATCTCTTTTTCGATTCTATCAAGGAACTCTTTCTCACCATACTACAATAGAAAACGGAAATGATCATATCAACACCACAAGTGATAATAAATAAAGTTTAGCAGGTGTTTAAGCTACATCAGAAATATTCTTGTTTGGTAGGTGCACCATGTGCACTGATGGGCCACTGATGGCAGAGCATACAAGCAACATGTTCAGGAGTGTAATAATCAATCATTGGAATATACCTAGGATACTTAGGATACCATATATCCTAATTGGAAACAATGTCATCCAAAATGATAATTTTCTTGTACAACCATCCCAAAAACATTATAGACATTTACAAAGTGATCTAAGGTACTGAGTAGCCAATCAATCAGTGATTATATTTAATCATCACAGCATAACTACCAAATATCATTGTTTGAAATAATGTCATAAGAAATAAAAATGTCCTTATTGTTCAGGGTTCAAACTTGGTATATGCCCACTAGACTGAAGCTTGTAAACTTAACAAAGGACTATGGTCACATTTCTTTGTCAACAACCACTTTTACTGTCAGGTAGATGGCAACTCTGTGCCAGATCTCTTTTGCAGACAAGTGAAAATAACACTTAATTTCTAACCCTGAATTCTTGTAAATCATTCTTATCTATCAATATAAATTATAATGACACAAAGAAGTATTACCAGCTCTTGTTCTTCCTGTTCTTTATCTGACTCATCCATGAACTTATCAAAGTCAATCTTGAGCCAGGGCAGCTTCATCTGCTTGTGAGTGAGACGGGGCCACACCTCCCCTTCCCCAACCTTCTTGATATGAAACTCCACACTGGTCTCTGTGACCCTGTACTTGCTCTCCTGCACCAATTCAAACAATAGGATTGTGTAGTAGAAGGTGAGACCAATGTCTGCAGAAAATACTTGAAACAAATTTGTTAAAAATGTATACTGTGAAACTACAGAATATAACTCTATAGTATAACATGTCCAACAATTCAATATGTTCAAGCTTCAGCAAAAGTAAAGATTTGAAAAGTTAAATGATTACACAAAAGCGAGAGTTTATTACACTTTGATAGCAAACACCATAGATATGAAATATGAAATAATCTTTGTGTTTGAGTCATCTACATTCATAGGAGGGGCGGTCGGGTAGCCTAGTGGTTAAAGCATTTGCTCGTCACACCGAAGACCCGGGTTCGATTCCCTACATGGGTACAATGTGTGAAGCCTATTTCTTGTGTCCCCCACCGTGATATTGCTGGAATATTGCTAAAAGCGTCTTAAAACTCACATTCATAGGACCAGCTACTTCTTAAGATCTAAACATTCTAAACTGGTGGGTATTGGTTTAAATTTGAAGATTGATCATTGGTTTGAAAAAATATTGATAACAGATTATTTTTGAGTGATGCTTAATCATACATTAGGAAGTCATTTTCAGTATCCTTTAAAATGTTCAAATAAATAAATAAACATTACAAAATAGGAAAACCCTTAAGTGGTATCTTACAACACTCTGCAACAGTAACATATGCATTAGGAAACATTGAAACAGTAACAAGCTTTAGAACATTGTCTGTTATCAGACATTTGTAGTATACTCAATTTTAGATACCTATTGGAAACCGAACTCAATGATTCAATAAATCATTGACTAAACGTATTAATCGGAACAACACCAATATTAATACAAATACACACAAACATGCTTACAGAAGTTATTCTAAAATCTTAAAAATGTAGTAAATCATTTACCTCAGAATCAACTGGAAGATAAAAATCAATGTCGAAGCCATATTGGTTGTTTCCTTTCAAGCCATTCCCTTGAGCATAAAATGTCAGAGAGTCTTCTCTCAGGTCCACTACTTCATCCTGAAATTAGTTCACTTTACATAATGTACACATCACAGGTGTTAGCTACTGACACTCATCTCTACATGTATTATATCCTCCACTTCAGAAAGAGTGCCATGTTGTGTACCATGCATATTGAAGAAGTACTTTTCATGCACAAACTGTTAATATTGTATGATCTTGTGACAAGTATCCCCATGTTTGTTGCACATGGCGTAAAACAACATTCACTATGAAACAGTCCACAATGTCCAGCTCGTCTAAAGTCTGGAAGGTAATTTAAGGTACAAACGTTTACTACAATATCTGAAAAACTAACAGAACTACTCCAGTCAAAGTTGGTATGAGATTATTAAACAGTCATACATAACTGGATATTACATTTAAAGACAATCGGTGCATGAATAAAAATCTGTCTATTTAGCTATCACTATATTTCATCAACAACCAGACGGGTTGAACGAGCATTCATTGAAACAGCCATCTGCATAATGCTACCCCTGCGTCACAGGGCCATATGACACAGTTGAACCAATCAACTCAACTCGAAAGGGTGCACAGGAATCACGCACGCACGAATACGGTGTTAGTGATGGGCGTCTCAACATGCGTGATTCCCGTGCACCCTTTCGAGTTGAGTTGATTGGTTCAACTGTGTCATATGGCCGTGTGATGCAGGGGTAGCTTTACGCAGATGGCTGTTTCATTGAATGCTCGTTCCACCCGTGACGAACAGGTCTGGTTGTTGATGAAGTATAGTGATAGCTAAATAGACAGATTTTTTATTCATGCACCGATTGTCTTTAAATGTAATATCCAGTTATGTATGACTGTTTAATAATCTCAAACCAACTTTGACTGGAGTAGTTCCGATAGTTTTCACAGATATTGAGGTAAACGTCGATACCTAAATTACCTTCCAGACTATATCTTATCTGATCAGACAGCAGTGGAAATGTGAAAGCTTATTCTATGAACTTGTAAAGGTATCTGGACAGGGGTGGAAATAGACATAATCAAATTAGGTATGCATAGTTAAACTCTAAAGATATGATTACAATGGATGGAATATTCGAAAAACTAAAGGCTGCCGGTATGTAATAAATTGTAGCAGACGATGTTCATATGACCAAAAATATCGAGTTATCAGATAAAAAATAATACTTGAGAACTTCCAATGACTAGCTATTTGTGAAACTATATGTATTGTTCATGTTTGGATTTTTGCACACCTCAATGTCTCTTAGATCGATCTTGAGGGAAACAAAATCATTTCCCTGTCCCCAGTACACAAATGGGCTGAGAACCTCCGCCATTGTTGCAGCTTCGCAGTTATAAACTAGTGCTTTTGTTTGAATGCGCGGCCGTACACTTGACTAGACAGAGGCTCAGTCTAAGAAAATCGTGACTCAATTTCAATTGCAGTTATTATTTAAGACGTAACTACAGTTTTTAATTTACGTTATATTATTTTGTAGAAACCATTCATGTTATTTCTTCTTTATCTGAAAACACACTACAATAATGTTTTTTTTATCAAACAGTTATCACTCAAACTGTTTTCCGCTGGTCTTGTACAAAGGCTCCTGACAGGGAAGCTGTCAGCTTGAGCTTGCAGTGGCGATTCCTTTACGTCAGTGTAGGGAGATCTGTCAGCGTAGCAGATGATAAACATCGAATCGGCGAGGTGGAAGATCTGTCGTCAAACTTCATTTAGGAAACTTTGTGCGAAAATGTTGTGATTATTTACTCTCTGCGTACTTTGCTGGAGCATGGAATGCTCTTCTTACCGCAGGGACGATGAGGAAATTACCAAATCGGCCAAGTAACAGTAAAACATGGAATTTAAACAGGACCCGATCGAAGACAGCTATGAAATAGGCGAGGAAATAGGAAGGTAAGAAGCGGCAATCGGCTGCATGGTCTTTTTATCATTATCAACTCATTATTATTTATTTCTTTTGAGGGCGAGCAAGTTATAAAGTCATGTCAGTTTGGAGTGTACCAATTGAGTCATTGGCGTAAAATGGAGCAAAAATGGGTTCGCTGCCTTCGGACATGACTTGTTGAATGGATTCCATTGCTGTGCTGTGATTTGGAAACAAGCAAATCTTCGCCTGGGTTCTTAGGCTGCTAGGCTGTGGGAAAGATGCACGCTACCTGAGTGTTGCCCACACCTGTGCTGTCAACGCACTCTATACCAATGGGTATGCAGTGATTTATACAAAATTGTTCTTGATTTATTGATTTCACATCTCCAGATCTGGTAAAGTGCGAAGGATCTATGAAAATTGGGTTTGTCACGAGGGAATCATTTCTCAATTCGTTGGAAAGTTAATCAAATCTTATGCCCATTGTACATTGAATGGGGTATCTCTGTTTACCTTCAATATATATTTCATGTGTCAAAGATGATATGAATTTACCAGTTTACAGGTCCAGGGAATAGGTAATTTGACATCACACATATCCCAAAACTAAGGCCACAACAAATGAATTCTCTGGAATGGTTATTTATGCTAGACATTGGCCCTATCCATAAAGTGATCTTAGTGCTATTACTCCAATAAGTCTATGTGAGCTGTTCCCATCTTAGTGCAGACATCGCTTTGTGGAATGGTCAATATTGTATGAACACTAATTTGGCATTTAATGTGTTTAACCAGCATGTTGCTAATGACTTAATGTAGAAGAAAGGATTACATTATAAAAAAACAAAAAAAACCTTGGTATATATGTTATTGTAAATCCTACTTATTGTCCCAGTCAGCATTCAATAAAAAAACATTTGTAGCTTATCAATGAATGTTCCATAAGCAATCACAGCATTGACTATTTTCAAGATTAGCACCCCACCCTACTATTTATGGATTCACCTAATTATACAGTCAGTGTGTCATTTTCACACTTGAAAGTAATTACAATATGTCATGACTTAAAATGGTCAGTAGACTTTAACAAGAACTTGATACAAACAATTATTGTTTTTTGTTTTGCCTCCTGCATCTTGTTGCATTGAACTTTAAAGAAGAAGAAAATGATTTTTTAATTCAGTAAAAGATTAGAAATAATAGTTACCCAGAACATTGATGCAACAGTGGGTAAGTTGCACTAAGTTAAATATGAACTAACAATAAGCTAAAAGTAGTTTAATTGTAGACTAACAATTTTAAGTACAATTACTTAAATATTATTTCGGCCTAAGGCATGTCATTTGGTAGCAAAGTATAATAATTTGTGTTATCGTGAAATTATCCAAATATGTTTATTATCTGATTAAGAAGGGGGCATCAATTTAATTTCGAATAAATCTCTTTTTAATTTCTTTTGTTCTCAAGTCATCCAAGATGTCACAAAGGTGTCATGATACTGTATCATATGATTTTGAATAATCACTTGAGAGTGCAGAGTGTGAGTTAACTTTAAGACCTTTTCAAACAGATAAATACGAAACATTTTGTGCATCAATATTTGATAATTTTTTCAAAACTATCTCACTTCAGTGTCAATGTTTTCTTTGGACACACACACACTTGGTACTTCTAGGTATATGTTAACATAAATATGTGATATTGTGTTTGCAGTGAAGCAGTGGATTAGTTAGCATGCAGACAGACTGATAATGAAAAATTGCTGATGTGTTTATTCTCTGAGAGATGACAAGTTTTTCAGAATGATGTCTCTCAATCTCATTTGTGTCTTGGGGTAGTGTAATGATGTGGTTCCATAATGATTAGTTTTGCAACAAATACTGTCATTTCCTAGCATATTTTGTCAGTAAAGATTAAGTGACAGTTTAAAACTCTTCCTCCCCTATTCCCTGAATCAAGAGATGAAGCCATTGACCGAGAATCAAATAAACAAAATGTCATGATCTTCAACATATAAACCCATATTGGTAATGTTATTTGATCTATTTTGTCAACATCTGCCATTATTAGAATAGAATAGTTGAGGAAAGTTCATATATCGTTGATCAGATAGAAAGGAACAACAAAAAGTAGGTATGTTATTTCCAATCATGCAGACTAATTCACACATATCAGGAGCCATCTGCGCCCATTCCTTGAGGTTTTGCTTCCCATTCCTTGAGGTTTTGCTTCTGTAAGCAATCCGTCATCTGTGGGTTTTTACCTCATGCATCTTGCTTGTAGGTAGTGCTTTCTGCATTCTCTGCAAGCACTGTCATTAGGCCAATGCTATGCAGGCTGAGACAGCTGTTATAACGTACATGTACCAGTACTAACTGTATGAGTCTCTTCTCTGGCACAGGTAATTAGGAACAGTGTGTTTAGGAGAGAAGAAATTATGCAGTAGCACCTGGAAGGTCCAGATAAGATTAGATCATCACAGATTTTATTTTCTACAGAAAGACCATGAACAAATTTATCATGTTTATAGCTTTAGGGACAATTCTTCATACAACACATGATATGCAACGTTTGTTAAGCTACATAGTTTGTACATTTAGTTTACTGACATTTCAGATTAGCATAGTTATTAATTATTTTGTATAGGGTGCAAAATACCAAGACCAGTGACGTGACTATTCTACCATTGGATGTACAAATCTTTACTCTCTGCACAAGACTGCACTGTCAGCTGTTGAACACAACACCAGATTTCAAAACTTTTGAATTATGATAAAAAAAAGTTTGCTAGAGGACATTGTTCTAATGTTTCTATATCATACCAAAAAAATATCTTCAGGGTATTTGGGATTATCAATGGATCGGTCAATGTCCTAGAAAATAAACCAATCTGAAACCCTGATAACGTACTTATGATACCCTAGTTTCATGATGTGGAAGTGGTGCATCAACATTCGTGGTTAACAACTTGTGCAACAATGTGCAAGAGTATCATTATATCATATACGGTACCCAATTTTTATTCTAGTATCACCATATGGTTGTTATTCCCCCCATAGTGATGATACATTGCCAACATGGCTGACCTTGACTTGGTTTTGACAAGTATCTCGGAATGCCCAACCCTGCTTGTAGTCCTATAGTGGTTCTGTGTCAGACAGAGTACATCTTACTGCATACCATGCTGGTCCTGATCGGTATCTGATAACTTGTCACAGCAGAAACACAATAGAAATGTGTTGCATAAATAACAAGTGTTTGTGAAGTGCATCCCTTGCAATGTAGTAATTCTAGGTCACAAATTGACCAAGTCAAGTTTGTACCCAGCGGAAGTCTTGGCCAAAAACATTTATGGATCCTTCCAGTCTAGACAAAAATATGGCTAGGGAGTTCTTGGAAATGAAAGCCAGAAAGCTTGGACTTGCATTACATTATAGCAATGAACAAGGTGTAAAATTATTCTTATGAGATCAGTTATTTCACCACAACCAAGGTTAAGGTTAAGGACACTGACTTGAAATTGTTCGGAATATGCATCAGCTTTGATTGTGATATTGTGGTAGGTAGTGTCTTCTGTATCACTGCACCACAGTGCTCAACACTTGGTAGGATGCCAGGATGGAGAATATAACATAACACATTTAACAAGCCCAGAGACCATATACTGATATATGGTCTCTGACAAGCCTGACCAGTTATCAGCATTGGGTAGCAAATAGACTGTGTGCTGAATACTGAAGTATTCCTTGAGCATGTTGAGTTTTTAGATGTTCCTTATATCTGTATTTGTTGGGAATTAACCACAGATGATGGAGGACATAGCCATCTTAGCTGCAAGCCATGTGGCATGTTATACAAACACAAACAAATCACATTATAGTTAGATATGCAAGAACCTCTACAATGTCAGAAGGAAGCCTTTCTGATTCAAGGAATCTTAAACTGTGAATCTAGGAATAAGTGTAGCAGAGGTGTGTATGATTTGAAGCCAGGTTTGTGGATAGAATAAATATAGATTAGGCTGGAGTATGTCAATTATTTCTAGCATCGTGAACCTTTACAATTTGTATGTTGTCATTTCTTCTGACGCTATATGTCTTTAGTATAAAATTTGGGTAAACGGCACACAATCATGACAATGGCAATAATTTCAATCATGCCAAATATATTTGTGTCAACTGCAACCAGGGCTACCAAACTTATTTTATTAATAGATTTCACTCATAGTTTTGAAATAAAGTAATAACAAAGTTTGGTTAAGGTGACTGGCTTTCATTGCTAAAAGCCCCAACTTTGTGTGAAAGTTTTATCACTTCATGACATGCCAATCACCAGTTGATTTGTTAAAAAGTGATCCACAACACCATGTTGAAGTATGATTACAATATTATATGTTGGCAGAAGGCATCGCGTTTCTGTTGACGGGCTGTACTCTGTGCTTAAACACACTTACAAC